GAGATAGAGATAGAGAGAGATAGATAGATATATATATAGAGAGAGAGAACGAGATAGAGATAGAGATAGAGATAGAGAGAGATAGATAGATATATATATAGAGAGAGAGAACGAGATAGAGATAGAGATAAAGACAGAGATAGATAGATAGATATAGATATAGAGAGAGAGAACGAGATAGAGATAGAGATAGAGATAGAGAGAGATAGATAGATAGATAGAGAGAGAGAGGGGGAGAGAGAATAGAGAGGTGCAGGTACGCGTCAATCGTGTACAAGTACATCGTGCAGTATGTCATCGTACGAGTAGCCATCTTCGCTGTGCTGGCAATAGCTCTTTAGCAACGTAGCGTCCTCGCGTTGCTATGTGTCTGTGCGTCTGTATAGCGATTTTATACTATAATTTTATTGGTTTAACCTTAGACAACCTTGTGCTGGATCGACGGTTTGCTGGAAAGTACGGAGGTGTATGGTTAGGTTTCGGGATCGTGATCAGGAAAATCCGAAACGGGGTTAAGCTTTGTTCTACGTTTGAGCAGACGGTCTCTGGGTAATAACAGTGATATCTGGCAAATCCCTGGTTCTAGCGGTTTTATGATAGTTATATAAGGGACGATCGTATGGGAGAGTATATATAGGCGATCGTATGGTAGCGCAATGCGCGCATATAGAAGGCGTGTGGGAGGCGTATAGGATGCAATCGAATGGGAGAGCGTATGGGAGGCGTATGAGAGACATATGGGATGTGCTCGAATAATTATAAGTGAGTGTATGGGAAAGCGTATGGGAGGCAAATAAGAGGCATATATGAGATCAAGAGCTAATAATACCTAGCTATTATTAGCTCTTGATGAGATGTGATCGAATAAGAGAGTGTATGTGAGAGCGTATTGGATGCGATCGTACGTGATATGATCGAATGGGATCACATCGTATAGGAAGGGATTGGCAATAGAGCTACCACGCACGCTAACATCAGTGCCCCTTGTGAAAATACTAATTACCACCAGTAGAACACGTACCTGCCATGACACCGAAGGTCAACATCAAGTACAGCAGGCTGGTTCCGAAGTAACTCAGCATCAGTCCTCCGCTGGTGAGGAACGCTCCAAGAAAGGCTATCGGCTGGTGACCCCACCTCTTACACAGCATCGTACCAATCGGAGCTGGAAAGGCACATCACCACTTGTACGCGTTGTTTTCGCGCATCAGGAGGCTACGTACATTAGGACGCGAAGATACACAGGTCACGAAGTTACACAGGCTTTCATGCATCAGTACACGCTACACACATCAGGACACATCTACAGACATCAAGACACGCTACACACATCAAAGTTTTCTCACCTCTTTCTTGTGGGTTTTAAGCAAACGCGCAGTGAAATGGGAGCAACTAGAGTTTATTTTGTCATAAGGTAGTGTGATTATGCATGACACGAAGTATTTGCTAGTCTAGTACTGGAGAAATTAGCGTTTGGATGCGCATTGTGAGCTTTTAACACTTATTTATCTACATGGACATCTCACCTATCTTTTTGAACACTAGCTTCCACAACTTTACACCATGTATTTATGCATTTATTCCTAAAAGTCTTAGCACTACTGGTATTTCGTTTTCAAATGCGGTTGCTCTGCTTATGTGTATGTGCGTGACGTCACCCGAAATGTAGACAAAACACATGGGCAGCTATGATTCAGCCTAGTACATTTTGGGTGACGTTACGCGTATACACATAAGCAGAGCACCTCATTTGAAAACGAAACACCAGTAGTGCTAAGACCTTTAGGAATAAATGCATAAATACATAGTGTAAAGTTGTGGAAGTGTTTAAAAAGATAGGTGAGATGTCCATGTAGATAAATAAGTGTTAAAAAGCCTGATAATTTTCCGTTTTGTGAGCCATTTTGAGTGGGGACAGGTGGTGACAGGTAGTAGCGAAATCGAGTTGACAATCTTCTATAGCCCTGCGGCAGTTAATGAATGCGGGCTATAGTACTAGAGCTAGGTTACACCGTACAGATGAGAGTGAGTAACCAGAAAAAGACTGCAGGCGCAGTGACAGAATCCTGCTATCTTGCTCTCAACTACTTCAACTTGAGAAGTTGAGTGTAGCCGCCGGTAGCCGTTTGGATTGTCCTTCTGAACACTCACTAGGGCTATATTACTATTAGATACCAGGGCTCAATTTTAACAGTTGTCCGGTCGTCCGTGACGACTGGATTTTCTCTCGGGCAACTACAAATTGCTTCCGTGGTTGTCCGGTGTCCAACCTCTATAAAAATGTTATATTTATAATGCGCGCGTTCCTTTTTCATACGGCCAGGGTTGCACAATACGCTGCAAACGTACATGTCTAGACGCATTGCTTGATACAAAGTATAACATTACGTGTTTAACAACACAATGTTTCGTGTTAATTTTCAATTTTTGCTCATCTGTGACTTGACACAGTAGGCCCGTTCACACTGGCGCGAATAAGCGGGATGCAAATTCCGGTTTTTGAATCGCGATCGAAATACCGAGATTATTAGTGTGAACGCAATAATACCCACTAATAATCGCGATCAGCATCGCGCTCCAAATCGCACCTTTGACTGCGATTATTTGGAATAAGCGCGATTATTTGCGTGTGTGAACGCTCGCTTTGGAATAAGCGCGATTATTTGCGTGTGTGAACGCTCGCTTTGGAATAAGCGCGATTATTTGCGTGTGTGAACGCTCGCGCAAATAATCCCGGTATTTTCTATCCCATCATTCCAAGCGAGTGAGCAGCGAGCATGCGCAGTAAAATTACTCAACAAAAATCCGCCGCACACGTGAGTAAAATGACGCATGCGTCAAATTACTCAACAAAAATCCGCCGCACACGTGAGTAAAATGACGCATGCGTCAAATTACTCAACGAAAATCCGCCGCACACGTGAGTAAAATGACGCATGCGTCAAATTACTCAACGAAAATCCGCCGCACACGTGAGTAAAATGACTCATGCGTCATTTCACTTGAGTAAGATAACTCACGTGTGCGGCGGGCTTTACCTATGAGCAATCTTGACCACTTCAACCCTGACTGCTTGCTGCGCGACCTTCATGCTTACCTATGAGCATCGGCGCGATCAGGTTCATCGGCGCCTCGATGACCATGCAGCCGGACAGCGCGTCCTGGTAGCGGTCCTTGCCCGCGATGTCCTGCACCATGACGAACACGGGCGAGATGCCGGAGCCCGACAGGAACCCCGTCACAGCGACGTAGAACTGAAGCAGCACGAAGCTGCTCAGCGGCATCGTGCCGAAGATCATCACGCCGCATGTGAGCCCGAAGAAGACGTAGCCGGCCTGGCGCACGTACATGCGGCTGAACCAGCCGACGTCCCACAGCGCGCTGATGAGCAGCCGGCCGAACATGTCGAACGTGCTAAAGATGGCGACGGCGAGCGCGATGTTGATGTCAGGCTCGCACGACGACGACGATGACGATGGGGAGGCCGCGTCGCATGCCACCTCGATGCTCTTGTAGGGTAGGTAGATGGCGTAGTTCATCGCGCCGGCGTCCTGGCACACCATTGCGAAGCCGAGGAACCAGAAGCGAGCGTCCTTGAACACCTCCCACGCGAAGACGCGTTTCTTCTTCTTCTTCGGCGCGACGGCGCCGTCAACCACGCCGTCAACCGCGCCGTCAACCACGCCGTCAACTGCGCCGTCAACTGCGCCGTCAACTGCGCTGTCAACTGCGCTGTCAACTGCGCTGTCAACTGCGCCGTTGACCGACCCGTCAACCGTGCCATCGACCGACCCGTTCGCGGCGGTGACGTCATACCGGACGCTTCCCGTAGAGTTCTCGTCGTCGACACCCTTGGAGAGCTGGTCGAATTCAAGCAGCTCCTTCGTGCTGGGGCTCGCCGGCAGCGACTCGGCGCGCATTCTGGCGGCGGCGGTGGCGGCGGTGGCGCCCCCTCGCAGCGGCCGGTAGACGGCGGCGCTGACGGCCGTGTTGAGGGCCATCGCGCCGTTGATGAGGAATGCTCCCTGAAAGCCGTACAGTTCGACCAGCCTCTCTACGACGAGCGGGATGAGCAGGCCGCCGAGCCCGGCGCCGCACAGCGCGATGCCGTTGGCTTTGGCCGACTTCTTCTTGAAGTAGATGTTCGTCATGTCGAATGAGACGATGACTAGTATGCCCGTGCCGCTACCTGTAAGAGAGAGAGAGAGAGAGAGAGAGAGAGAGAGAGAGAGAGAGAGAGAGAGAGAGAGAGTGTATGTGTGTGTGTGTGTGTGTGTGTGTGTGTGTGTGTGTGTGCGTGAGCGTGCGCGTGAGCGTGCAGTATACGAGTCGCTTCTCTAATCTTTACCCCACATAAAAACAGAGACTAGATGTCGATATACGCTCGTTCTCGTTAGCAGTATAACCGCTTGGCTGTGCGTCCTTTCTTGTTATTGCTATCAGCAGCGACCATGACAATATAGGAGGTGGGGGGGGCTTGTTTGGCGTTCGCATGTCTAATTAAGCAAACTTAATGAGCAGTCGCGCTAAATCGACGATTTGCTTTGCTAATCACGCGAATAATGTCGCTATTAAATCACTTAGAAATGCCTAGAACGAGTTGTGAATCACTTCTATCTTCGGTTTTGTTTCGTTTCGTGTTTTGGTTTTCTTCGATCATCGCTTTCTTGATTGCTATCTCTATCTATCTACGTGTAGACGCTACATAATCGCTAACTCGAGTTAACGCTTAACTCGAGTTAAGGTTCGTCGTGTAGACGAGGCTATATAGGCACACATGTAAGCCTACACACGCGCGCGCACACACGCATACGTATCAGACCGGCCAAGGGTGTTCAACCTAACCAGCTTGTTGGAGGTTCAGTGAGATTTTGCTGGAGAATGGGTCATTTTGGGAATATAATGTTGGCGGTTCAGAATATTTACAAACACGACCAGTTTCTAAATATGTGGCTTTAAAATATGTATTTGCAGTACATATATTCTGTTAGCATTCGAAGAAAAAAACAAAAACAAAAAATTTTAAAACATAAAAACTTTAATTCTGAAGTGTTACATGCAGTTCAAGTTTTTTTATTTTGCGTGAATGCGTGAGAATGCCAGAAGGCATGCGGGAGTGCGGGAGAATGGTTCCAGCTCTAGGTCCAGCAGTAAACCGACCATGCAGGCTCTCCGACTGTTACACGTCGTAGGACGTGCCTAGGACACGTCGTAGGACGTCGTCGTCGTACGTCGGTCGTCGTACGTCGGACGTCGGTCGTCGTACGTCGGACGTCGACGTCGTCGTACACGTCGTAGGACGTGCCACTTCTCGCCAACGTAGTGTTAAGCGAGAAGGGAACTTGTGGCTAGGTCCAGCAGATGCGTGAGTCTCCAGCGAAATGCGTGAGACTTGGTAGGTCTGAGGTATCTATATTTCACATGTTATAATGAACGTCAATCCATAGAAAGTCAATCCAAGTATATATAATAGACCATCATATGGAAATAATATGTATGACGTACCATGATATTATGGTATATGGGAATATAAGTTGCATTATGGGTAAATTCGAATTCTCCTATGTGTTCGACCTACCTTATGTTTTCGTTTACATTTTCGCAGAGATCCATGAGTCGTGTCCTACCCTGCCTGCTAATATTATCTGTATGTTGTCCTACGAAACAAACTACAGATAACTTTTTGAATGGTCATTTTGTCACGCTTTCTAGTTAGTCGGTTAATTGCTTCCTACATCCATCAGAGAGCGCGATTTATCACTAATACTATTGGGTAAGCAATATCATAATTAGGAATCCTAATGACATGTAATTCCTGGGCCTTCGTTCCACAATCTGTCAATCAGAGAGGAACGTTACTGATCTTGTGATAAGAAACCTTTTCATGGGCTTGATGCTAGTGACACTTACTCCAGTGAGTTAGTTTACATTAACTCATTAAATAAAATCACATAGGCCTACGTTATGGTAATCTCATTGTGGTTACACCTAGCTCTAGTAGTAGTACTATATCCCGCGTTCATTAACTGCCGCAGGGCTATAGAAGATTGTCAACTCGATTTCGCTACTACCTGTCACCACCTGTCCCCACTCAAAATGGCTCACAAAACGGAAAATGATCGGGCTTTTTAAAGGCTCACAATGCGCATCAAAACGCTAATTTCTCCAGTACTAGACTAGCAAATACTTCGTGTCATGCATAATCATACTACCTTATGGCAAAATAAACTCTAGTTCCTCCCATTTCACTGCGCGTTGTCTTATAAAAGGTATTTTGAAGGACACGCTACACACATCAGGACACGCTACACACAATAGGACACGCTACACACAATAGGACACGCTACACACATCAGGACACGCTACACACATCAGGACACGCTACACACATTAGGACACGCTACACACATCAGGACACGCTACCCACAATAGGACACGAAGTCTCACAGGCGCGGGGATCGTCAGGCGCAAGGTAGTAAGCATATAGGAGGCGCATGGGAAGCGTATAGGATATGTAATCGAATGGGAGATTGTATGGGAGAGCGTGTGGGAGACATATAAGAGACATATGGGATATGATCGAATAAGAGAGCTATGGGACAGCAGGCGTATGAAATGCGATCGTACGGGATAAGATTGAATGGGATCACATCGTATAAGAGAGGATAGAGGCAACCGAGCGAGTAAACACACCCATGAAGAAGGACAGCGCGACGTTGAGGCCCTGCATCATCGATGTCATGGCCGCATCCCAGCCGAGTGTCTCCTGAATGTTGATCATGTAGAGACCGAACGCCTTCGTCTGTCCCCACGTGAACGCCATGATGACGCACGAGCCGGCGACGACCAGCCAGCCCCATCCTCCGTCAGGCGGCTCGGGCTGCTGATGCTCATCATGATGATGATGTTGTTGCTGCTGTTGGCGCGCGATACTCGGTGGTCGTTGTTCTAGCTCGTTCGCCATCAGCTTGTGGGGTTAGGCGTGTTGTTGTTAGCTGGGCGTCTTACCGATGTCCGTCTGCACCGTGGCGGTCCATGCTTATATCATCGTTGGCAGCCAAGACTAAAGTTCAGATATTAGTAAATCTTGTGTAAATAGTCTCTCAAGATTGTGTGATTTAGCTTACGCTGTCTTCTATATCGGTTTCTTTTATTTCTTCCCCTAGCTCCCCTTCTTTTTCTGTGATTTTTTTCTTGTCGTCTCCGTTATTCTCTCTTTGTCGGGCTCATCTAACTGTCTTGCCCACATTTCTGTGTCACCTCCCCTCCTTTCTTCTCCCGATCTCTTGCTCTCCCTTTTTCATTTCGCTTCTCTGTCTCGTGTGTGTACTCCCCCTTCTGCTTTCTGTTTACGTCACTCTATCATTACCGTTCATATTCGTAATATTCTTTCACATTAATATTAAGATTGTTTTAAAATCTAATAGCCTGATCAGAAACTGTTATTCCCAGTTGCATTTAGTTCATGTGCATATGTCTGTATGTAGACGCCCAAGGATTAATCACATCACCCACCGATACGGTTCGAGTGAATGATCGCTCATTGATAAACTGTATTAATTGATCTCCGGATATAAGATGTGATATGCATCTTGATGTTATATCACACTTTGCAAACGATAAATCAAACGTCACGATATACTGCTGCGTGCATTTTTTAAACATGATTTTTCAGCACGATTCACACGACTTCGGCTACCGTTGCCGGTAAAAGAAGCAGCGTGCGGTTTGTGAAGTTTAGTACGCAAAGAAAATAGTAAGGCAACTAAACGTTTTCGATAAGGCACGTCATGTGAGGAGTGAGTAGTCACATGCTCTTACCTGGGGGTTTCAGCTGATTCATTAGGCCTAAAAAAAGACGTTTGTTTCCGCTAACCCGACCGGGTCCATTTTAAACCGCCGAGTCGGACCTTTTATTGTGATCGGCAAAAAAAGAAAGTTGAATGTCAGATGTGTATATGCTGGACTGGTTATATATATATAAATAATAAATGATATATATCCTTGAGTCTGACTTTCTTGTTTATGTACCTTTGGGGTTGAATCTCTTGAGACTTTGAAGTCATTATATGGATTATAAGTATTGTTAGAATAAAAAAAAAAGTGATAAACAAAATGTTTTGACACGGTAGTCCAATACGGAAACAAACGTCTTTTTTAGGCCTTATGCCCGGCGCACACGTGAGTTATTTTACTCAAGTAAAATGACGCATGAGTCAAATTACTCAACGAAAATCCGCCGCACACGTGAGTAAAATAACGCATGCGTCAAATTACTCAACGAAAATCCGCCGCACACGTGAGTAAAATGACAGTTGTGAACGCCGGCAACACGCTAAGCATTCGTTGGTATAAGTTATCTATTAATTATTGAAACGTTCTATATAAGTTACTAATACGTTATGTATACGTCCAACTCGTTATGAATACGCTATGTATACGTCCAACTCGTTATGAATACGCTATGTAAACGCCCAAAATTGAAAAAAACATCGATAGTTTAGCGTATGCCAGCGTTTTAGATAAATTTTGATACGTCCGGCATACGCTGGCTAAATCGTCAATGTGTGACAGCGCCATAACAGAGGTGAGTGACCTACCTATAGCTATCACTTGCAGAATCACTCGATGAACTGACGGAGATGGTGCACACTATGTTTGGGGAGTGTGAAAATAAGGACTTGACTGTGCCTGAATGGAGCGACCACCCGTTTGGACCCGACCAACTGAAAGTAATAACTTTTTGGGCTTTGCTGTTTAACCCATCTGAGCATTTCTAAACATTGTGTTGCTATTTGTGTTGCTCGGTTTAATAGTTACACTGTGTGTAGTTCGTTTTTATCCATGTTTGTAGTGCTCAAAATGCAAACTACCTAGTAACATTGCAAACATAACTATCTAGGTAATTGTTGTATCTTGTAGCATCAACTAGTATGGTATAGATATGTTTATTGTGGTATGAATAATTACTTTTGTTTGCAGTAGCAGCTGAACGAGTATGAATAGTATTTTGATGGGATATTCACGCAGTTCTGTTTAATTCTGTGTTTGTGTGCGTAGTTGAAGGCCTACGTGGTGCCAGTAAAGGATCTGAGAGGTCTACATGTCACGTTTCCGATCCCTGATCTACACGAACACTACAAAGCGAAGGTAGGCTTGTCAGTGTACTCACAGTAGCAGTGTCTGAGTGGGTGGCTGCGTGTATCTTTGTATGACCTGTTATGTGAAATTTTGTCGAGGAGTTGAAGCCATTTTAACAGTGAAGTCTTGGGGAGGGATATAAGTGTAGGCAGTAGTTGCAAGGAAAGCTTTTGCATCACAGAGAACAAGTCTTGTAAGTCCTCAGGTCTGACCAGGTGGGGCAGCCATGGTGATATATTGCTGTGTTTGTCATCTGATATTCAGGGGTACCGTGGCAAGTAAGGGAGAGCAACCACGACACTCACCACTTGTGTCGCGGTGGAGTTTGAGCCACCCTACGAACGTATATTACGTTACGTAGAAGTGACCGCTAACTGTAACCTTTGTTTACGCGCGCAGCCTGGATCTTACCTAGGTCACATGATTGGTCACGAAGGACCGGGCAGCCTTCTGTCCGAGCTGAAGGCAAAGGGCTGGGTGAACACACTGGTGGGTGGAGAGGAATCTGGTGCACGTGGTTTCATGTTCTTTATCGTCAACGTTGACCTGACCGAGGAAGGAATAGGTAGGTCACACCTATAACGAGATTACCTGTCTGTCTGTCTGCCTGCCTACCCTCAAGAGTTTTGGTTGTCCGGATATTATTTAAACATGTGCTGCATGCGCTCTGCTCACGTGATGCTTAGTGCTGTAAAGCAAAAGGCCTAATCATGTACATTTTGTACGTATTGCAATGACAGCAGACATGGCCATTCGCATTGTTTCACTCATTATATGAAGAGAATAAAATATTGGTAATGTGGTAAATGATGCTGGTGGGATCAATGACGTATAATCATAGTAATTAAAAGTTGCATGAAATTTATTTCATAACATTTACATTAACACTGTCAAGTCACAGATGAGCAAAAATTGAAAATTGAAAAAAAAAGAAAAAAGATTTTCAAAATTAATTTAGAGGTTGGACACTGGACAACCACGGAAGCAATTTGTAGTTGCCCGAGAGAAAATCCAGTCGTCACGGACGACCGGACGACTGTTAAAATTGAGCACTGCATTATTGTAAAGGTACCCAACAACCTAGTTCGAGATTCCTCTGACCAATGGTGGTTTTGGTGTGGGTTAACCCTAACCCTAACCCACACCAAAACCACCAAAATCGTCGGTGTGGGCATTGGTCAGAGGAATCTCGGACTACCAACAACCCTACTCTTGTTGGGTTACATTATTGTATATAGTGTATATGTATAGTTGATTAATTATATGATTGCAATCTGTAATGGCAATCGGCTGATTCATTGCAGTGTCTAGACTCTAGGGCTATATCCAGTGAAATAAAAGTTTCGACCTCAGCTGGAACAACATCTAAACAAAATAATTCGTGTCATAATTAATACTGTGCAAACAGTCACCGATATTACAGGAGATGTGTTTGCAAGAAAGAACTGTCAGTAAGCCTAGTCTGTCTAGAATTTAAAAAAATTAACGATATTTCGGACTCTGCAAATGGTCAGGACAGTCGGTAATCAGTAGCACCATCAGTATTTTAACATATGGTTTCGGGAATTAATCGAGTGAAGATTTGCATTTGATAATTGCAAAGTCTTGTCAAAATATATACTGAGCTTGGCTATTATACTTTAAGCTGAGCTTAGGATGTTAGAGAATGAGACAGCAGTTTTATTTTACCAGTTGGGGATATTTTCCTCAAACCATACTGATAGGATGTAAAAAGGATGGGGTTGATGGATTTATGGTTAAATCTTGCATTTATATACCTTTACATTTGGTCAGTCTGCTATAAAACAAGATAAAAGTAATGTAGTGTAATGATGTAACCCTTTTCCTTAATCCTGAATGCAATACATTGTGCCACTGATAGGAAAAGTTATTATATCTGTACACCTGGACCCGGTTCCACAGTCGTGGATTAACTCTTAACTCTGAGTTAAATTCCTTAACTCAGAGTTAAA